GGTTACACCCCACTGTGGGATGTTCAATTAAAGATGGAAGACCAGGTTCTGTGAAAATACACCAAAAGAAATGAAAATAAGAGGGTGGTACAATGCAAATCGAACAAACCAGTCAATCATCATTCCGTATGGGGATGTAACGCTTCATGCTACAGTCCATCTTAAAAGGAGAACCATCAAAAAATCATCTTCAAGAGTGTTTTTTGTCTTTATATATATATAATATCATATATAACTTTTATATTTATGACAAAAATGTTATATTCATAGATCTATATACTTTTTTTCTGTCAAATATATATGTATATAATTGGTAAAAATGATTAAATTATTGGTGGAATAAATCATCTACGGAGAGAGACGGGTGCGTTTCACACGGTCCGTCCTGTTTGCTGTCTCTCTCCATTTTTCAAAGCTATTTAAATACATTGAGATATTCTATCTAATGTCATATTTCCTTTGGAAACCCAAAGTAAGAGTCTGATTATGAAAAAGCCACTAGTGTTGGTTAAACATTCTCCGAGTTGTAGTACGTCCCTCAGCCAGAAGGGGGCAGGCGGTGGACAGAGAGGATCCCGCCACGCCCACTCTGCTCATCCACTCCTAAAAAAATACTCTGAAAGGCAACTGAACTTCCTTTTCTCGACAGCATCCCTCCTTTTTTTTCTGGATGAACGATGCAGCGGTAAGAAGCAGAGAGTAAAGTGGAAACAAACAAACAAAAAGAAAAAACAATTTGGAACTAAGGGATTAGTGGGTGTTAATCATGCCAATGAAAAAGAAGAATCAATTATGAGATGTTCTGCATTGGCTTTGTTCAGACAGATAGCACAAATCAAAGTTTTTGGTGCACTTTTGTAGTCCGGACAAGAAAAAGCTACACATCTGTAGGTTGTTTGAAATTGGATTAAATGCAATGAGAACTGTTGAATTGGATTTTAAGCAGTTTTTGCCTAAATGAATGTCGACACTTGTACACATTTAGAGTAAATGAGTACAGACTATTTGCATAAATGCATTAAATGCTTGAAAGCATTATGAGCTCAGTATGTGAGCAGATGCAGCAACTGGATGTTTCTTAGATCTCATTTACATAACCTCTGGCGCCTAGACTGCAGCTCCGCACAGGAAGTTTGACCAGAGGAGAAATGGTCGTGCCCAATTAAGCTTGGTTTCTCTCAAGGTTTTTTTTTCCTTCACTTTCGTTAAATGGTAAAGTTTGTTCCTTGTCACTGTCGCCACTGGCTGGCTTGATTTGGGACTTGTTGAACTGCACATCAATGGATTTGCTCTTCAGTGTTTGGACTATCAGCAGTGAAAATTAAACCACACTGAACTGAACTAAACTGAGCTTCAACTTTGAAAACTGGACTGACAGTTTCAATTCACTAGAACTTATATCTGAAGCTGCTTTGACACTACAATGTAAAAGCGCTATAGAAATAAGGGTGAATTGAACATTTACATTACACCTGCTACTAAGATGTGCTTTCGTTAGTTAGATCACAACTGAGTCTAAATATACCACCCTTAAGCTCATATTAGCAGTCATAGATATATGTATATGTGTTTACATATCTATGGCTCTGAATGGCCAGTCCTCTATTGCACCTTGTTCCCACATTCATTTCAAGGAAGCTCTACCCTGTACTAAAATGGCGGCTCTATTGTCGCATTCCCTCCAATAAAGAACAATACCATAGGTGAGGTCTAATGTAAATAACTATGTCAGTGCATCATCTTCTTCATTGAATAAAAAGGAAACTGAGATCACCTCAACTGTTTTCCTTACAGTGCCTCCAAGTAGTGTTTACTGTAACTTTAGCAGCCACTAGCTTGAAAACAAAAGTGCCAATCTGATTGGTGGAGAAGTTTTTGACACAAAGAAACGAGCATTAAGCGTTTCTTTAAAAATGACGTTTTTACGTCTGCTGTTTTGCATGTTGGTGTGCACGATCACATTAGCATCCTATGTTTAGTCAGGAGGCGTTAAACCTTGATGAAAAATAAAAGCAAAAAGTGCCCCGGTGTGAACGGGCCTTTAGCATTTGTCTATTTTCCTGTTGTTTTCCATCCTTGTAAAGCATCTTTGACTAATGTTATGTTGTATAAAGCGCTAGAAATGAAGGTGACTTGACATTAGTAACTATTATTAATATTTAGAGATTAAATTAAGCCATTTTTGCCCTTTTATTGTGATGGGACAGTCGCTAGACAGGAACAAAAGTTGGGGAAACCAGAATTTGAACTTGGGACGCCAAAGCAACATGTCGGTGCACTGCCCAACGACTTGGATATTTGACTATACTGTCTGAACAAGCAAATACGATTTGATCAGTCAATTCTAGATCAGAATTGAGCGCAGTTTGAACAAAATCAGTGCAATCGTTAAATTCACAGCCCCTCCAATACACACAGCACCCAGGTGATTGGCTGCTGGCAGAGATGGGAGGGGCTTAGTGCTACAAAAACAGCATAAAGCAAACACCCACTCCACTGATGATGGATTTAGGAAAAGTGCGATAATTTAAAGCTAAAGTGTGTGATTTCTGCACAAAAAAATAAATTAATAAAAAAAGTAAGTGTTGAAATTGTTTCCCGGATAAATGTTGGTTTGTCAGATTGGTTAGGATGCTCAAAAAAAAAAAAAAAAAAAAAGCAAAGTTTTGAGAAGAATTAGGAGAAAGTATTGAAGGTGCACATTTCAGCTTTAAAGAAACACCATGTTTTTTTTCTTTTGGAAAATAGGCTCATTTTACAAATCCCATAGAGTTTATGTCAGCCGATTTCCGAGTGTGGCAGGAGCACATTTAGCTTAGCTTAGCATAGATAATTTAATCAGATTAGACCATTAGCATCTCGCTCAAAAATGATTAAATAGTTTAAACATTTTACTATTTAAAGCTTGACTCTTCTATAGTTACATCGTGTACTAAGACTGATGAAAAATAAAAAGTTGCTTTATTCTAGATCAATATAGGAACTATACTCTCACTTTGGCTTTATAATCAAGGAACTTTGCTGTGGTACCATGGCTACAGCACGCCATTACCTAGTTACCTAGCTGGGGACTATTTTCAGACACTGTAATATCATTGCACCTGCTGCAGCCATAGTACGACAGCAACGTTCCTTGATTATTATACCTAAACGAGAGTATAGTTCCTAGACTTCTTGACCCAAAAAGCAACTTTTTGTTCTCTGTCAGTCTGAGTACACAGTCTGTGTAACTACAGAAGAGTCAATATTTTTTTTTTAATAATAATTTTTTAAGGGGTTTTTCACATTTAGTTTGGATAGGACAGTCAAGGTTACAGACAGGTATGTATTAGGAGCAGAGAGAGGGAAATGGTTGGCAAAGGACCTCGAGTCGGGAGTCGAACTCAGGTCGCTATGAGCACCACCATGTTATAGAGCTTTAATCGGGCCATAAAAATTACGCCTGAAGTCTGACAGAATTCGGCCTGAGCCCGACAGGTACATTTTGATTGACAGCTTCATAAAGCCCGAACCCGTTTATTGCCCGACATTATTCAAATGTGCTCATGCACACAGCTCTTTTGCCTTTGAGAATGAGTCATTTATATGTTTTAACATTATTTATTCGTAGCAAACGTAGGCTATAGGCCACTTGGAAGTTGGAACAAAGAAATAAAATAAGTCCTCTGTAACATCGTATCATCTCAGCACTCTAAATAGGCCTGGGTACATACACTTAGCCTTTAAATTGGCCAATACACCAATAAAAATAAGTCTTTCTTAACAAATTAAATAAAAATACATGTGAAATTATGACGGGTATTTGGCAATAAAGAAATTAAGATAAAGGCTCTGTGGGATTTGTTTCACCACTTCTCTTCACAAGCTGGCTTTAAGGTGACGAATAAGCTGAATATTAAAAGAATAGCCTAATGCCAACGTTATACTCTGTCTACGTTATGATTTAATGGTTTAATTAATATTTATTTATAATTTAAAAACCCTTTACTCATCAAGATTAGGCTACGTGTTTTTGTGGAGGAACATTATTGAATCCACTTTAATTGGCTTTAGCGCAGATCTTCGCTTAGGATGGTGCGTCCAGCAGCACCGAACACCCTTTCAGTGCTGCTGCTACTGGCCAAGAAGCATTCTGATCTGGCTAATTTTGCAAGTTTTGGGTAGGATTGTTCTTTCATCTTTTACCAGCCAAGAACATCAATTTCATTTTCCATGACAGCAGTTTCAATGCAGCGAGTGGGCTCGTCATCTTCCCTGTCAGCTTGCTGCACATACATTGCTGTTTAGCGTTCTACCGTAATACACAGTGCATGAGTGACTGCCGAAATACCTTGGTGGCTAGAATGACTAATCTTTTTGAACTGGTGGCGGGCCTCACCGCAGTCAAAATTCGCTCTTTTTAACTCTTTCTCAGTCATCATTTGTTTTACTTTTGCAGGGATAGATTTTAATGTTGTAACAATCGATTTGATTACTTAATCGAAACGCATCACATGGTTCATTTGTTGCACAAGCCAGGCCCGGCCCGACCCCACCTGAAACGATAGAAATTAAACCTAAACCCACCCCCGTCCTATAAGGATTGGGCAAAGATCTTCAGCTCTACCATGTTATATGTCGGCGCACTTAACTACTGGGCTATTGGCACTGACAGAACCTTTAAATAGAAAAAATAATAAAAATCGTTTTTGAATTTTTTATTGAGTGAGATGCTAATAATCCAATCCAATTTAATGATGCATGCTAAGCTATGCTAAAAGTACTCCCGCCAGACACAGAGATTGGCTAAATTGATAAAAAAAATTATAAAACCTTACTGTTAACTGTAGGTGACTTGTAAATGTTAGCATAGGTAACTGAGTTGGATTTGACCATTAGCATCGTTTAATAATCAAGGAACTTTGTTGCTCCACCATGGCTGCAGCTGCAGCATTTTCAGACACTGTGTAATATTCTTTCTCCTGCTGCAGCCATGGTACAACTGCAAAGTTCCTTGATCATTACACCCAAATGACGATATAGTTTCTAGACTTACTGAGCTAATAAATAGCATCTTTTCATTTTCCATCAGTCACGATGTAACTATAGCGGAGGAAAATTATTAAGTGAGATGCTAATGGTCTAATGCAGTTCAATGATCTATGCTAAGCTAAGCTAAAAGTGCTCCTGCCAGACCCGGAGTTGGCTTAAAATATTCAAAAATGGTAAACACCAACTATTAACTCTGGATAACTCGTAAACTGATTAGCATGTGTGATTAAATAGCATTAGGCCATTAGTTCTTAGACTTACTGACCTAATAAATAGCATCTTTTAATTCTCCGTCAGTCTTCATACACAATTTAACTACAGAAAGGTCAAGCTTTAAAAAGGAAAATGTTTAAACTATTTGGTCATTTTTGAGCGAGAAGCTTAAAATATTAAGCTTATTAAAAATAATTTTCAGTTTTTTTTATTGAGTAAGATGGTAATGGTCTAATCCAATTCAATGATCTATGCTAAGCTAAACTAAAAGTGCTCCTGCCAGACCCAGAGATCAGCTAAAAGGCTTCAAAAATGGTAAACCCCAACTGTTAACTTCAGGTCACTTCCAAAAAAAAAACATAGAGTGTTTCTTGAAAGCTCTGAAATCACAAGAACCCCCCCCCCAAATGAAATAAAGTAGGAATTTAAAAGTAAACCGTGTTGAGACTAGCTACAGGCAGAGGGAGGCGCGTGGTCAACTCTCCAGCAGCTGTTTAAGGGCGCGCTCAATGTTCATGCGGTGACCGACACGTGTCACACCCAGCTCAGCGTAGTCCTCCTTGGTCAGAGCAGGCAGATGGGAGCCCTCGATCTCGTGCTCCTGGAAACGATCCCGGTGTTCGGCCAGGTTAATGCTGGCCAGCCAGTCTCCCACGTCGTACTTGTTCCACAGATGAAGGGGTTTCTGGTGGAACGGCCGCAGGGTGAGAAGCGGGGAGGTCATGCCTGGCGAAGGGGCCGGCGAGGGTGAGCGACTCCGTGCACTGGAGCTCCTCATGACGAAACGCACTTCTTTCGGTTCGTGAGGGAGACTGAGGCTGGACGACTTAAGGATGGTGGGCGGTGTGATCGGTGACGTGGCCAGGCCGAAACCCCGGATGGGTCCTAGAGGATCTGAGCGGTCCGGGGATCCGGGACTGGGAGTCCTGCGGGTTACTGGGTAGCGGCTGCCTGGTCTGATGGTGTAGGTGGTGCCGTAGCCTCTCTGAGAGATAGTATGGAGCTCTCCCAAACTGCTGAAGAGTCTAAAAGTTGAAAACATGGGGAGAAAGAGAAATGGAAGGGGGCAGAGAGTGAAAGTCAAATTAAAATGTTTTTAGAGAAATGGTCTCTCTGTAACCCAATTTTAGTAATAGCATCAGCTATGTTAGGAGTCTACGCTTGGAGATAGATGTGGAAAACGCATCAAAGGGATAGTTCAAGCAAGAATGAACATTTAGGATTTATTCACCTTCAAGTGGTTGTAAACTTTTATAAGTGTCTTCCCAGCACACAATTTTAAACGAAGGTAGCTTGACTAAAACAAGGCTAAACTTGGGCGGTCTAAGAATAGTCCAAAACTAGACTAGTCGTCAAATAGACAGACTTTATATGTGTAGTCATTGATTTCTATTTATTTAATGACTAGTCTAGTTTTAGTCTTTTCTTATAAGTCCATTAAATTTTCACTGACAGCTCAAATTTAGCCAAGACGACTATGTTTAGACGTTTACTAGACATTCACATCAAAAACAAAAAATGCTTGCTGTATTTCTTCTTTTGAACACAAACAAGATGTTTTGAAGAATGTTTGAAGCATTAACCATTGACTTTCATAGTAGGAAATAAAAATGCTATGGAAGTCAATGGTTACCGGTTTTCAGCTTTCTTGAAAATATCTTGTTTTGGGTTTAACAGAAGAAACAAGTACAGGAATGATGACAGCATTTCATTTTTGGGTGAACGATCCCTTTAAAATTGTGTTAGTGAGATGCTTTATTTATGTGTTTAGTGCAAAAGTATTACCTGTGGAGTAAAGAATAAGAAAACTCTTTATATGATCATCGAGTGAAAGAAAATCTGAATTGCTGAATTTTTAGATTTTAGTTTGTAGGGTTTATAGTGTTATACTATTAATGATGACATATTTCAATATCTTTTTTGACTCATTTTCCAGTGAAAAATCAAAAATTCTTAGATTTACTTGAAGCTAAAATCCATTTGGTATTTTTCAAAGATGACATTAATCTTTGCAATATCTATCATGGATTGGTAGATATTGCAAAGATTTTTTCTTATTTAACTATCAAAGAAGTAAACATCTTTTTTTTTAATATTAGTTAACATCAGCAAGCCATGAAAAATACTTCTGAAGAACTGAAATACTGCAACATTTACTAATGCAATATTAAAATCAAAGGTTGTACTGTTAATATTATTTAGGGACTATTATCTACACTGAAAAAAAATGATGTCTGCAAAAAAGTTGCAAACAATTAATATGGGTTAAATTTAAATAAGCAAATTAAATTTAGTAATGTTCAACTTAATTTGTTTGCTTGAATTCAGCCCAAATAAATCGTTTACATCCGCTTAATTTAATAAAAATGTTAGTAAATCCAAGGATCCAAGGAATCATCTTTGAATTCTTCTTATTTCAATGTAACATTAATTAATAATCATTGCAATTAATTAATTATGAACTAATGCATTGACAAAACTGAAACTTATTGAATTAAATAAGGGTACACTTTATTTTGATGGTCCATTTAAGTATTAGTAGACTTTCTGCTTAATATCTGCTCATACTGCTCCTTCATCAGACATTTAACTGACTATAAGAAACTTTGCAAGTACCTGTCAACTTACACACCCTAACCCCAACCTAACAGTCTACTTATAATCTAATAAAAAATTTGTTGGCATGTAGATGCAATGTAACTTAAATAAAAAAATAAAGTCTGAACTAAAGTTAAGCTAAATACAGTCAAACAAAATACACAAAAATACACAAAAAAAGCTTCTGTAATAAATTTGTTGTGTCCAGCATGTCTAGATATTTTGATTGGAAAATGATCAAAAATAAGCTTAATTTAAAATACGTAAGAATTCTTAATTTAAAATATTAGTTTACTTTAAATAATCCAAGATTAGTTTCAGGATGTAAAACAAACAATTTAAAAAATAAGCTTAATTTTAATTTAAATAGGCAGATATTATTGTAGTTTTAGAAAAATATTTATACATTAATTTAATATTAAATATTAAAATAAGAAACAAATGCATATACACAATAAATGTAATTTATTAAGCTTGTCAAGACTGAGAGTGTTTAAAAGTGGAAAGGTGCATTAAGTAATATTTGATAAACTCTTTAGACTGCAGTAGTGATTACACTCTAAGATGTCACTGGGGAGGTACCTTTTTAAAAGGTATACATTTGTACCTTAAAGGTCCATATTACTACCTGAAGGGTACGTATTAGTACCTAAAAAGTACAAAAGTGTTCCTCTTAAAATTTGTAGGTACTAATATATACTTTTGAGGTACCAATATGAACCCTTTAAGCACAAATGTGACAGCTCGCGTACCTTTATTTCTGAGAGCGTAAGTCTAGTTACTGTAGTGATGATATCAAAAGGGGCGTGGTCTTGTTGGGTTGTGGGCGAAGTTGTTTTGATGCTTACAAATATCATAAATATCATTAGGCAAATTCTAAGTGTTTTTTCACTTCTGCACATATCCGTATCCACTGAAGCAAAATCAGACGTAATTACTTAGTTAACAACCAACGGTAATAACTAGGGTGGTTACATGAGTTTGAATAAATGGCTATTAAATGCATAACACTGAAAAAATTACACATTTTGCAAGCCGAACACTGAAAGCACAACAAAACATGCAACACATGGAAACAAAAGAAGACGACAGACTCAACCGTCAAATTACTTGCATTACTGGTGCTTACGCATGTAATTAAAGAATGCATTCACTACAATATCCTACATATACTATAGCCAATTCATTTAACAATATATATGCAAGCTCTGATCATTATGCCTGTTAAAGCAGCCTATACGTAAACTCTAAACACAAACTATTGTCCTATTCTTGAAATCCTATTGGGGATGTAATTTGATGATTGAGGAGTATTAAGCAGCCAATGAGGAACATGAAAAAGCTGGGTTTAAAAGGGGGGTCTGGCCAAATTAACATAACGGAAGGGGTGGATGATGATCAGGGCTCGTGGAAACAGACAGAAAAAAGAGAGATGAGATGATTCATGCGCACTTACACAGGTGCCCGGTTCTTCTGGGCTTAGCCTCAGATTCAGCTCTAGACAGAGCAGCGTAGCATGCAAAGAGAGAGATAGTGAGAGAAATAGAGATAGGAGAGAGAGAGAGAGAGAGAGAGATGGAGAGAGAAAGAGAGAGGGAGCAATGAGAGAGAGAGAGAGAGAGCGGTCGGTTAGCATCAGTCCATGACAGAACAAAAACAAACACCAAACACACTTCACATCCTCAACAATGTCAATCCAATGCAAACCAAATGCATAGCGACACAGACCAGAGCACAGCTATCCCCAGACGTCAGCTTTCAATAGTGGAACACACACATATGGAGACTCTATAAATGACCGATTACTTTTTTAAAATTATAATATGTAATTAATTTTTTCCACAAGTGCTTCGTCTGGGGTAAGGTGGCATTCCAGTCAAACCGACCAACAAAAATTGAGCAACAAAACAAACTGAACAATTATGGATGAAAAATAAACAATCAATGCAACATTTTGTTCTAAGTAGAAGCCAGAGTGATCATTGTGTTAGCATGGTTGATGTATGAAAATGACGCCAAAACTACAGAAATAAAATGCTCAGAAGTGGAAAGAATGTTTACATTTTTAACATGGCTACATAGATAGGAATGAGAGACTATGATGAAGTCATGTGATGATTATGTTAGTTTAATGCTTTATTATCCAGTCAAAAGCTGGTTTATTTGAATACACTTTTATTTCTACATTCAAATAAAGTGAACAAACATGAGTTTTAAAGTCGCCATGAAATGAAAGTTAAGGCTGTCATTTGTGTTTCATATCGTGATGTACATCCAAACGAAAAGGTCCTGAATTAAGTAAAAAATAGTGTGGTGCATGATTTCGTCCACTGGGAAGTGACTGAATTTTATCCTCCTCACACTAGCTGCCAGTTAAGTTTTGTATTACATTTAAAATATTGCTTCTTACCTATAAAGCTTTAAACAATCTAGCTTCTGTTGATCTAACCAACCGTCTGTCTCACTACAATCCAACTCACTCTTTAAGATCTGAAAACTCAGGGCTTCTTGTAGTAGCTAGAATAGTAAAGTCAAGTAAAGGAGGTCGAGCCTTCTCATTTATGGCTCCTAAACACTGGAATAACCTTCCTGATGACGTCTGAGGCTCAGACACACCCTCGCAGTTCAAAACTTGAATAAAGACCAATCTTTTTAGTAAAACATACACTCAGTGCATCACTTAGCTATATGATACATCCACACAGGTTTCTGCATCTTGTTAATATACACTATGAACAGCAGCTACTCTATTTATTCTCTTTATTCTATATTTCCACCTGGGGATACTCATTCCGAGGCCCTCAGACTATGCAGAGTCCTTGATTCGATCCAAGACCAGCGACAATATGATCCCAAGGTTTCCATATCCTGGACCAGGCCATATCCTGAGCAGCTGCAGTGGTGGTCATGGAGGAGTGAAGAGCATGAGACTGAGTCCTGGGATGTTCCAGGGACTGTTGAGTCTTCACTGAGGTCCAGCTTTCAGCCTCCGCCGCTGAGACTGCAAATCTACACAAGACGTTTGGCCAGCAGAGAAATTGAAATGATCGTGCCCAACTGAGTCTGGTTTCTCTCAAGGTTTTTTCCTTCACTTTCGCCAATTGATGAAGTTTTTTCCTCGCTGCTGTTGCCACTAGCTTGCATGGTTTGGGATCGGAAGAGCTACGCATCGATGGATTTGCTCCACAGTGTTTGGAGTCTTAGTAGTGATTATTAAACCACACTGAACTGAACTAAACTGAACTGAACTTAAACACTGAAAACTGAACTACACCGTTACCATTTACTTTGATCTTTTATGTGAAGCTGCTTTGACACAATCTACATTCAAAAGTTTTATACAAATAAAGGTGAATTGAATTGAATCATCAGAAGATGGATGTTTCTAACAAAATGAAGGAAGATTTATAAATGAATAAAAGCAGGGCAGAAACAGGACACACCCTGATAGCCCTGCCCTAAAGGCATTCCATGCGACCAGAAGTAAAGAAAAGTCATTTTGAGGGAGGAGAGAAGGAATTTGTTTAAAGATTATGAGAGCAAATGAATTTTGCTCTCATAATCATAATAGTGTGAGGGTGCACTCACACTATGCTATTCCAAACCGTGCCCGGGCACAGTTCCCGGTTCATTTGACAAGTGTGAGTGCTCCTGGCACGGTTCAGTTGACTGGCCCTGGTCTGGTTGGAAGAGGTGTGGCAAGGTGTGGTTCGGTTGGGCTTTGGCATGGTGCCTGAGTGCACAACTGAAGACGCAACGTCACTTTTATTAATCATTCTTACTTTTCACGACCTGTCATAGTTGATTAAATATGCAAACCTCCCCTGAATGTCAGCTGCACCTTCAGCAAACCTCCTAATACCTGCAACAGGATGGCTTTTATGATAATTTATGAGTGTCAAAAGTTGTGGATCTGTTCGGCAAAATATTTGACTGTGTGTCGCTGCATCCCAAATTACTAAAAAAATAATACAAAACGATATAACTAAAGCAATCTCCATTGTACTGTGCGAGAGCGCTTCTCTTCTGTTAAAATGAACAGTCGCATCATTGAATCGGAAGGCAAAATGCTGTGTTAGAGCAGGCCATCAGTGGAGACAGGAGGGGGGACAAGCGCGCTTCGGCATGGTTTAAGGCAACTGTACCAAGTATGAGCACACCCTTACAAAACAATGAAGTGCACAGATACCTAATTTATAATGAGCACAACTATTAATGCAAAAATAAGAAGAACAAATTTTGATTTCATGGCGACTTTAAGGAGTAACTGGATGCAAACAACATATTCATACCATTCAACGTCACACATACATACTGCTACCACAGTGCCACAGAGGAGTAGGCCACAGGGAAAGGCTCACAATGTTAGATTTGGAAGGTGAAGGGACAAAGCTTGAGATGGTGCATGCCCTGAAGCCATCTGTTACCTTGTGAACACCCAAATGGCAATGTACAGAGGGACTTCAAATCCAGTTTAAACAATGTTTTACAGCATGTCACTGAGGACGTTTTCGAGTTGAATCAAACACTGAACAAGCTGCATGGCCAAAATGGTTACACTTAAGCTACATTTACACAACAATGATGTAGCCAAAAACAAACGTTTAACATTAAGCTTTTTTATGTATACACAACATTTAAAAAATTATCCACATTTACACATATTAAACAAAAAAACCTTAAAAAACACTGTAATTCGTATGCACGGTAGTAAACAGTAAACACAACATTTAAGGAAGTGACAATGTGTCATTGGTGTGATTAAACTTTGCAGTGTGTATATGATTCGTTCAAACCAGGCTTTTTCTAAAAACGCGCCGCTATTTACATTTCTGGAGACCGTCAAATACGTCCCAGGAGGAAGGTTCTGTTCTTTTTTGCAGGTTCTGTTTTTGAGAATCCACCAGAGGCCAATGTGTACGCTTTTTGAGATCTCAAATTTCTCTCACGAGTGCCTGCTCTACTCTTTTAAATCCACCAGAGGGCGCTGTCGACTGACTGTTTGCCTGACTGAATGACTCGACTGACCGATCGACTAACCCACCCTTCCCCCTTTCCTAAACCCAACTAATAGTATTTTAAAAAGCACAAATTGCGTCGCCCACCCACTTCAATAAACCCAACCAACAAATTTAAAAAGCAATTCAGAAAAAGAAAAGCTCTTGCCTGATTACGTTTTACCACATTCTGTTATACCCTGTTATTTACTTGTTTATTTTAGTTTTGTCTTACCTGCTTTCTTCACTGGATTCATCGTTGTCATCTCCTCTCAGCACCTTAAGTCCACGGATGTACATAGCGAGCTAACTGGACAAACTGGTAGAAGTCGGAAAATGATCCATATGGAGGTAAACGGTCATCTGGTAAGCGCAAAAAGGAACGGCATCATACCACTCTGTAGCGTTTTTAAAAAAAAATTAAAAGCAGCCATGCGTATATCTGGCTACATGATTCACGATCTCCAGAAATGTATATAGAGCTACGTTTTCAGAATGAGCCTATGTTGGATTCGTTTCCATTGTTTGTTGTAATATCGGTAAGGAAAATCCACAGTTTGTGGAAGAAGTGATTAGCAAACTTTTTACCAGCCACAATGGTACCATGCACTCTGCCACTATTGTGTATGTTTAATCACGTTTGTATTTAAAATTGACATGTACTGTGCATGTCTCCTTACCTAACACATACTATTCAAAATTCCCATTTTGGGGTGTTTATACAGAAAGGAAAAGGCGGGTTTTCTAAAAAATCTACTTCTTATTTTAAAATTGATGTGTTTTCAGTATCCAAAATGCTATTGTCCTGAAAACAAACAAGCAAATTGCATAAAAAGTTTACTGATTTTGGCTGAAAACCTTGTTGTGTAAATGGCCCCTTAATATATTATACTTGGTGTACACTGTACTTTTAGTTGATTTGCCAGGGTGGACAAGGGAACACAGAACCTGCAGGAGTGATTAATAAAACCCAGAACAATGCCAGCAAAAGTGATTGAATGTGTGATTAGTGGATTGTCAAAGGATAGAAAATAAAAGGAATGACATTTGATTTACCCTAGTGGCTAAAAGCTAAGGTTTACTGTCTTCCATGTCGTTGTCACATCTGTTGGGATATAAAGGACTTCAGTTGTATTTGAGGATATAAGCAAAATGATACATAGCTGGTGCTTTAAAAATCAAGACAGAAAACAATCATTACATTTCTGATTTTATACGAAGCTTATTTATTCCAGTTAATCAGTTTATCTCAAACTGTTCCTGTGTCTTATTTATGTGTATTTTTGCATCCGCATAGTCTATGGTTGGTTGGTAAAATCAGGGTATCCTATGTTACTTACCATTGGAAATCGAATGCTGAGATTGTTCTTGGGCTCCAAACATCTCAATGAAGAAAGCATGTTAGACATTACCACTTCATTTCTTCTAAACACGTTCCAAAGGTTAAAGATGTTAATTTGCTTTATTTAAGATAAAAGTCTGCCCATTTAATCATGTCTGCATTACATTCTTTGGCATTCTTTATGATGTTTATGAGAATGTTTAATGGATCTTGTTTATGTTCTTTTTATTCCATATTAACGATTACAGATTTATTAGTTTCAATTAATCACTGTTAATCATATTTGATAAAAATAACTGCACAGGGTAAATATTCTCAGTGCCATTTAACCAATAGAAAACTGCATTTGGATCATAAACAGACAAAATCAGCATTTTTCATAGAAATTTTGAAAAATTGCTGATTGAATGCTCTCCTGTAAGATTCGCACTTTACCTTGGACCGACCACGGGGGATTTTCGTCCGGGGTCAAGTGAAGCTCCAAGTGGCTCTTCCCCAAGTGAGCGTGTGTCCTTGTTCAGCTGCTGCAGCCGGGAGCTGAGCTCGCTGATCACAGTGGGCTTGCCTTCCTCTGCCCCCGAAAGCGGACGGGGTTCTACTGTGTCCCCCCACAACTTAGAGCGTCTCTGGAAGAGGTAGCGGGGTCTGGCCGGGCCTGAGGCTCCCGCAGCAGCAGCCAGTGCAGCCGCATGCTGCTGTGAGAGCAGTTCGCTATCAGATGACTGCTTGAGCAGGGGGTCCCTGAACGTCACCGGGCCCTTGCTGAGCTGGGACTTGAGCTTTGGCTTTGGAGGCACTGGCGGCTTATCAAGAATGAACGTCTGGCCATCTGCGTGGGTGGTGTAAGTGTCTGTTGGCTCGCCGCTTTCCGAGGACAGTGTGGACATGCTGGAGACAGTAGAGATGGTGCTCGTGGTCTCCAGGTGGTGATCGCTGGAGCTACGAGTGTCTACCTCTTCCACCCCGGAGTCAGCAGCAGACTCTGGGCCCAGGTGGGACTCAGATGGCTTCCCTGAGGCTGCTTGCAGGCCACTGCTAGCAGGGACCTGTGCTGCTGCAGCGACCGCTGCTGAAGGAGCAGGGGGTGGTGGAGCGGGTGGAGCTGAGGGCAAGGTAGAAGGAGTTGTCTGCGTCAACGTGGGAGCAGGAGGTACTGCAGTTTCAGGAGTCTTAGCAAGAAGGCCATTTGAAAATTCGTCCGGCGGAGGAACCACACCGATTTTACGAAGCTCCTCTCTTGTCTCCTCGTCACTGGAGGATAGCATGGCAGGTGGCAAGGTGACTGTATAGGGTTCGGCATCCTCCTCAGAACTACCCTGAGCCAAGGTTTTGTCTGAGGATGGGCTGGGAGGGGGCTGGGAAGTTGGAGCTGCGGTGGGTGGTGGGGTGGATATCGAAGGAGCTTCGGGACCAGGGGACTTTGCACGTTTAATTTCGGCCAACATGGGTTTGGGGCTTTCTGACAATATCCCCTTAGGGGAAGGGACACTGCGCTCTGGACTGGGCCCTACAGCCTGCCCATTACTCGTTGCATGAACCATGATAAGCCCAGCAGTTTTCTGCTGAGACGTGTCCATGATGCTGATGATCATACTCTTTTTGTCCTCAATTTTCCTCTCCTCCTTCCTTTCTGTCCTTGTTTCTAACTCTTTCCTGGTAGATATGGGACTTCCCCACTGAATCTTGCTAGTGGGGACGGAGGTCTCGTAAATTCTTTTTGTTGCAGGAGAAAAGGGAGGTGAAGCAAACCCACCCTCACCCTCTGACCGCTCAGCCTCTTTGGTCTGGGTCTCCATATACAGTACCCCTCCAGCAGTTTCATGTTTAGTTCTGGGCTCAGGGCTGCTTGAGGGGGACTGACTCTGGGAAGTTAATGCCCGTTCTCTTGCGGCCAGCGCAAGTGCCAATGGAGAGTTGGGGTCCAGGGGCTTACCTGTCAGTGGGTGAATGAAGGTGGTGCCCCCAGGTGAGGGACGTAACGCCAAGGCGGGAGGAGGCAATTGACCGAGTTCACGAGTGAGCATTCGTTCATCAACAGAACGGGATGGTGTGAGCGAGGGGGCCTCGGGGGGTGGTGCTGAACTGCCCTCCATAGTTCCCACTGATAGGAAGACTGTAGATTTCCGCCTCTCCTCCAGACGACGTTCTCTGTCCTTCACAGCATCAGCAATGGCAGCAGCAAAAGGTCCTTTTCCTTGCAACAGTCCTTCAGCATGAGCTTGACTGCGTTCATGCAACAGCTGCTGCTGCTGATGAAAGAAGTCAGACCTGCTGGTGTGCTGGGCAGCAAGGCGCCCAGAAGGAGAGTGCTCCCTCGCATGGATGGATGCCAATGCTAGTGAGGCTCTTTCCTGAGCATCTTCCACCTGCAGTTGCTTAACAAGTGGGCTCTTCCTCCGTTGTGGCTTGCTGGGAGTTGGCGTGAACATACCCACGCTGAACTGACCCACATTGGCGTAGGGGTTATCTATGATTCTGCCTTTCCGCTTGATTCTCTCAGGCGGAGTTGAGACAGGACCTGGCCTGGGGATGTCAGTAGGCTCCACAGGGAGGTGGGAGGAATCCTGCAGGATGATCATGGAGCGGGCTTTCTTCTGCCTCTCCATGTGGGAGGCATGGCGAGGCGGCTCATACAGCTCAGCAGACATTGTCTGAGGCAATGCATGTAGTCTCGGCTCAGAGCCTGGTTTAAAACTGGAACGGCTGGGGTCGTGAAGGCGGCCAGGGGGAGGGGGTGGGCAGAATGAAGGAGGGGGTCCAGTATCTAGATAGTAAAGCGATGGAGGAGGTGGGGGAGCCATCTGAGGAGGTGGAGGGATACTATGGCTGTCTCTCAGGCTGTCCGTCATGGAGGAGCTTCGTGGAAATCTGTGCTCCGCTGCCAGGGCAGACAGTCGATCCTCTTCGGTGGCTCCTGCACATTTAGACAGATAGAAATGTATTTGGGTTTGGTGGAGCTTGAATGATAACAATAATTCACATAATTCACATCTAAACTTTCCTTTAAATTCTGATCGTTATTGTGTGTCAAAGTCCTGCATTTCAATACGCTGATATTTAAGAAAGCACAGACAGATAGAAGAAACCAGAGAATAATATTTTTCAGCTGTTTCAAACTGTGGAGCTTGTTTGAGAGTTGTATGTAAAAGATTCATGAAGGCTTACCAAAAGACTTTGTTCGAGCCATGCTTTTCGGCAGCTGCATGTGGGCTTTTTCCAACGCTGGGTGAAGAGCACCATGAAGGGCAAGTCCTTGTCGCTCAAAAAGAGACTGCACAAAAACAGAGAAAACATTTACCAATGACATAAAAAATAATCATATAATAACAGAGTTGGTGTTAGCTATTGTTTATCTAAGGCAGGGGTTCCCAAACTTTTCAACCCGCGACCCCCAAAATGACAATGCCAGTGACCCGCGACCCCCAATATTTTCTGAGGTGGTTATAAATACAGAAACCTTGCATGCAATGGCGCACACACCACAATTGACTGAAGTCTATTCTTCATTTATTTTCTTTATGGATGTCAGTGCTGTAAACGGGCCAGAACATTTAACCTGGTGTTATAAAGTCAAGCTGCTGCATCTGACGCTATTGCCGTGTCTTTAATATAATGTAATTACCTCAGGGGTCGCAATCCAACAGAACTAGTAACTATAAGCTACTATAGTAACTATATACTAACTATAAACGACTATTTTTTTTCTCTTCAGTAGGTTATGGATAAATTATGGTAGTTCTTATGGTTTATTAAATCTAAATAGATTTTTTGAAATCACCAGGCGACCCCCCCTTCATTGTCCTACGACCCCTTGGTGGGTCCCGACCCCCACTTTGAGAATCACTGATCCAAGGCAGGGGACTCATACTGCTCTTCAGTTCACGATCGTGTCTCTATCCCCCTCCCCCCGCTCTTCAGTTTGCGATCGTCAACCGGCCCTGGCCCCCCTACCAAAAATAATAGATTTTTCACGCGACCGTCAACCAGACCCCCCCGCCCGCTCTTCAATTCGCAATCGTCAAACGCCAACACCCCCAAACACTATTAGCACCCCCCCAATTTTTGCTTTTCAGTGTCTCTCAACCTTCAGCTCATGACCATCAACAAACCCTTCTGGCCACTCTTCAGTTTGCGGAACCCCCCTCCCACCTTTTTCCGTCAACCAGTACCCCCCCAACCTCAGTTCGCAATCATCAACCAGCCCCACAGGCCCTTCCACAAGCACCCCCACCCAATTTCCCGACCGTTAACCAGACATCACCCACCCTGCGATTGTCTCTCAATACTCCCTCCCTCAACCGCCCGTCAGTCTCTGCACGGTACTGATCTTCACGTGATTACAAGCATCACTTCCAGATAGTAAGATGACCCTCCTATCATTTGTCAGTCTCTTAAATGGCCTTCCGCCAAATTGAGTTTGACACCCCTAAACTAAGAGTTTAATGGCAGTACATTAAACCAGCAGTAAAGCAAAAACTATTTTGGTCTCTACTGTATCAAAACAAAGTATATGCACAGTTGAAGTGCCACTGATAATTTCCATGTGTTTGCACATACTGTATCTTACACTGATTTCTGCTGGTGTAATTCGGCGACTGGTAGGACGTTGCTTCACCGTGGCGGCTCTATAGTCTGCTTCCACCTTTGGCCTCAGTACTGTCTCCTGAGAGGCCAAAATCTCATCTAACCTTTCTAAACACAAACATAGATACAACACACAGTACATTACATTACACATCCATACAAGAAAGCATACGAGAAGCTTTATGTACTCAGGTAATATGGATCTAATTTGATGACACGTAAGAACTAAAAAAAAGTCAAAGTAAATATGAAATGTTAATGACATAGCAGGGAAGACTGCTGCCCCCCATAACCCAGCCCATATAAGCAGTTGGAAATGGATGGATGGATGACAGTGCGTTAACACAATGACACAATGCATCAATTATTTTTGGCAAATGGTGTAGCATGACAAAGTATAAAAGCTCAGTTCCAATCTACAGATCTGCCTATCTACTTTAGCAGTGCCATTCACACCAGATGATTTCTTTAATGTTATTTTGAAGCTAAGCAAGGTAGTTGATGTTTACAAAGAAAAACAATTAAAAAATAACACAGATGGAGCCCAGAATGCATCCTGTGTGAACGGTCCCTAAGGCAGCATCCAAACTGAAATAGACCTTCATAAGTGACTCATTTGGAAAAGTCCACATGCCACACAAATAGCGTTCCTCACGTGAAGCATATGAGATGAAACTCACAATGGAGTTTTCACAGTGAGTTTGCAATTGGTGCACGATACAATGTGAAAAATACTTTTCGTAGAGTTTTTGTCTTGATTTTAATCCAAATAATCCAATCCCAAAAAAATCAATCAATCAATCAATCAATCAATCAATCAATCAATCAATCAATCAATCAATCAATCAATCAATCAATCAATCAATCAATCAACCCTATCTATTACTACACTACCTGACAAAAGTCTTGCCGTTGATCTCAGTTGTAAAAGCAACAAATTATAACTTGACTTCTAGTTGATCATTTGGAAACGTGGCAGAAGTTAGATTTTTCTGATGAATCATCTGTTGAACTGAATCCCAATCATCACAAGATGACTTCCAGATGACTTTATTTGTAGGGGTCATTGCAGAGATGTATGGATGTAGGGTCATCCAAGCTCATGGGAGTCATGCACAATATTCATTCCTTTCGTACTGCACCAGGCCTTTATATTCTATACTGTACATTACTTGTGTTAAGTGACAAGACTTTTGTCTAAGCAAAGTCAGACCTTACTGTCCTAATTACATAATTAATAATTAAGGCATGACCATATTTTATTTTGGTAAAATAAGCATAATCTAGAGGCATTTGCCTTTCAAATAAGCCAGTTCTGATACCAAATGATCAACTAGAAGTCAAGGTATTATTTGTTCTTCTTAAAGTTTGGATAGGCGACAAGACTTTTGTCAGGTATTGTGTGTGTGTGTGTGTGTGTGTGTGTGTATTCTTAAATAAATATGCAATTTCTAGACAAGTACAAAATATTGTTTTGTTTTCAGAAATAATCTGCCAAAATTAAGTTAGTTTTCCTAAAAGAATTAAAAATAAAAATCTACCAATGTAAAATATTCTTGTTTCAGATCAGCTATTTTTTTACTTACCCCAGTAACATTTATTATTTTGCTATATTAATAGATTATTGAAAAAATACAATATCTTAAAAACAAAACAATACATCTTTTAAACAATATTTTAATACTAAACAATATTTAATGCTTCTTGGTTAAATAATTTGTGGATATTTGGATTTGAAACAAGACAAAAACTCAAAAACAGAAAATAAGTTTTTGCAGTATAAGAGTGTTATAATCAAATAAGAATGAACAATTACTGTAGCAATAACATTTTATAAATAATAGTGTTATTTTAATACCAGTTTACCCTCCAAAACATGGTATTTCATAAAAACAGCATACTGTTGCTGCCTGTGCTTTGAGAAAGCCTAAAAATGCAGGTTGGGTAGGCAGCTTATTAGGTTTTGGAAGAGAGCTAAATAAAGCACATTCTAGCATGAGCGAGGTGAGGATGGTTGCATACACAAGTTGAATTTTGCTGTGATTTTTTTTAGGGGGTCTCTAAAAACCTCAATACACAACTCACCTCCTCTCCTCCTCCTTGCAGAGGCTGAGCATGAAATAAATGTACACAACACTTCTCCATTAAAGTCTCACAGCAGCAAATGTCTGTCTGTGTGTGTTACGTTGTGTGAATGTGTGTAATGAACTCAGTAAACTCGGAGCACAGATTGAGCGAGAGAGAAAAGGACAGCTGATGTTTTGAACAGCCCAAATGGCTGCAGGAGGGAGATGACACAGTTAATAAATAAACAACAACAACAAAAAGAGCATCAAAAGAAGAACATGTTGCATCTGAGTGTGTGTGCATAAATTAACGAAATAGGATAAGTAAAATTAGCTATTTTAACTATAAAATATTTCATAATCTTAATGACTAAGTGTAGATAAGCACCCTGAAGCCTTGATAATTGGAATTCGGCAATATTGCAAACAAACTGTTCCTCATGTAAACACAACACTGCGACTTACATAACAAGTTCTTAGTGTAGAAAAACTGCATTTTTTTTCAGCGTACATTTCAAACTACAGCTAAACAAATCATTATTAATCAGGTAATTGACATTCTAAGTCGATCTCTCTCTTTTGCATGTTGTAGTTCTGTATTTATACCATAGTAATTTTGTAGTGTTTGCTTTGCTTTGGCTTTTTTAGGGGTAATTATTGTGATATCCCGATTGCAACAGGGAAATACTGGGAAATCTCTGTAGACTCTGTAGCCGTTCAGTCTTATAATCTTAAAACGTGAGCAAAATCACCTGTTTTGTCATCGCGTTAGATATTATGCTAGAGAATCATTCAAATACTGGCTCTAAATTGACGGTGAATTAGTAACGGTTTTTGCTGTTCTGATGGTCAGGTGCAGATGTGAATGAACGGTGGAAGAAAGTAGTTCCTCATACGATTTTCGTTTCTAAAAGATTATGCCATCGAACTGCTGTATAAATGCAATATCCCACTCGTAGCAGTGTCATATGGTTGTATATCATCCCTGGTGGGACACCAGGACACCTCGTGCCAACACACGTCTCCCACCAGTGCCGATATACAGCCTTATTGCACTGCTACTCGTGTGATGTTGCTCATATTACATGTATATAAAATATATATTTATTATTATGATCTAAACTAAAGTGTTACTTGCACATGGATACGAATAACAACTTCATATCTTTGTACACTGAAGCCAAAAATGTGTAGTTCATACTGCAGGGTGCATGATAAATACTGCATATAACATTTTATTTAAAACAAATAGCAATAAGACAATTGTAAAGCGATTGTTTTAGAAGGTATGGTCAGAAGTATGAATTTAGAGGTATAGCCTATACCACAGAGAGTTTCATGTGCTAACACACTCTGAAAAATGATGGGTTGTTTTAACTCAGTGCTGGGTCAAGTATAGACAACACATTGTTTGGAAAATGAATATATTTTTCATTATTTTTGTCTCTTTTTCTTTACATTAAACAATTGTATTTGTATTGCTTAAAGGTGAAATATTAACTGAACTTCTGTTAAGTGTAATATGCTTTGCATACTAATGAAGCATTTTTGCAGAAGTAGATGAAGCTGATAGAAATGCAAAGGCCTGATTGTCTAAAATTAATTTGAGTTCTGCAGCTAAACTTCCTGTGAGCAGAAATATGTTAAAACTGAACATAGAATATGTGCAGTTGAGAAGTCATGTGCTTTTAATGTTGTGCAGAGAATTCATAGAAAAAGTGAACGTATGGCCAATGGATGTGCGGCCAATGGAGGACAGGAGAATGATTGACAAGTGACGAATTTCACTAAACTCCACCTGTTAATATCAGCTGCCTATAAAAGTGGAAGTCAGAAAATGAAAACTGTTGCGCACCTCCTGATTGTAATTCTTGCATTGCATTGGGGATATTAGAATTCTGTAATTCTAATTATTAATTTGTATCCAACAAATTACTAATATTTTTGACAATAAATAAAACCCTTTCCTGACATTTTTTATTGAACATACATATAATTGAATAATTATTCCAACAACAACAATTGGATTAGAGAATGTTATATACATTTGAAATCCAAATTATTCGCCCTCGTGAATTTTCTTTTCCTTTTGTAATATTTCCCAAATTATGTACAGCAGAGCAAGGAATTTTTCACAGTATTTCCTATAATATTTTTTCTTCTAGAGAAAGTCAAATTTGTTTTATTTCTGCAAGAATAAAATCAGTTTTTACTTTTTTAAAAACCAGTCAATATAATTAGCCCCCTTGAGCAATATATATATATATATATATATATATTATTTTTTTTTATTTTTTTTTTCTAGTAAAATATTATCTACAGTCATCATGGCAAAGATAAAAGAAATCCCTTATAAGAAATGAGTTATCAAAACTATTATGTTCAGAAATGTGTTGAAAAAAATCTTCGCTCTGTTAAACACATATTGGGGTGAAAAAAAACAGGAGGGCTAATAATTGACTTTAACTGTCCTCATTTGACCCAACGTTGAGTTAAAACAGCCCAGATTGTTTAGAGTGCAGCATACTAAACGTCTTTAAATTGTTAGCATGCTTAAAAAAATTGGCAAATAAAAGAAACGGACTAGCATGCGTGTTTGTTTGAAGGTGTCTTACCCAGTTCTTCGAGCTCAGCGGTCATGCTTTTGGACCTCAGGGTGAGGGTGGTGCTGGGTGCTCTTTTAGGAGGCGGGGGCGCTGTGGAGGAAAGGCAAGGAGTAGATGAGAAGATGGGATGGCGTGGCGGTGGGCCTTCACGACTGCTGCCCATCGGCAACTGCCAGCGCTTTTTCACCATCTTCATCCGAAGAGCTCAACGTACCACACTAAGGCAACCACGAATAAACTCTTTCTCTCCTTATTTCCCTGACATGCAACATAAAATCATGCAACTATCAGACATGCGCAACCAGAAACCAATGTTCTTTCGTGCTGGCTCTCGGATGGTAGAAACACTTGTCTCCCAAAAGCCTTCGCTCATCCTCTTACAGCCTAAAAGGAGGCCGAGTTTTCCTTTGTGTCTCTCAAAAATGAAACCTGAAGCTTTATATCCAAGGCATACTATAAACTCCCGATCGGCGATAAAAGAAGCATCAGGAAAACGAACAGAGATTAGACACTTGTGTGGTCTCAGTAACATCGGCGTAAAACTCCTCACTCCTTCAGCTAACAACCCTGCAGACCAGAGTGGAGCTGGAAAGAGAGAGAGAAAGAGAGAGAAGGCAGAGAAATACCAAGGCACTAATGCAATACTTACTTCAAACATGCATTGTAGTAACCATGGAAACTCTGGCAGGAGCAAGGCCTGGGTTTGTGCATTTAAACTGTGAGAATCTGTGTGTGTGTGTGAGTGAGAGAGAGTTTGTATGTGTGTGTGGGAGGATATAGCCACAAAACTAACAACAGACACTCCATTATTACTTCATCAGTTGTGTGTATGAGTGTGTGATAGTTTGCATAGACCAGAGTTACGCAATAACCTTACAATAACTTTGCAGGTGACTGTGATTTTGTCAAGTGAGAAAACAATAGTTCTTATCAGACAAACAGATTTTGGAGTAGGAATTTGCTTTGGCGATAGGGTTTAAATAAGCTATCACTTCTACCTGATTGTGTGGATTTGTTCATTTCTGATGCAAGCTGCAGAGAAAGCTGCGCCAAGGTCATAGGTTTGATGCCTTGGGAATGCATGAACTGGTTAAATGTATAACTTTAATGCAATGCAAAAGGCTTTGGATGAAAGCTCCAGCCAAATGCATTCATTCATTCATTTTCTTGTCAGCTTAGTCCCTTTATTAATCCAGGGTTGCCACAGCAGAATAAACCGCCAACTTATCCAGCAAGTTTTTACGCAGCGGATGCCCTTCCAGCCGCAACCCATCTCTGGGAAACATCCACACACATTCACACACACACTCATACACTACGGACAATTTAGCTTACGCAATTCACCTGTACCGCATGTCTTTGGACTGTGGGGGAAACTGGAGCACCCGGAGGAAAACCGACGCGAAGGCAAGGAGAACATGCAAACTCCACACAGAAACGCCAACTGAGCCGAGGTTCGAACCAGCGACCCAGCGACCTTCTTGCTGTGAGGCGACAGCACTACCTACTGCGCCACTGCCTCGCCAGCCAAATGCATTTAAACATAAATGTGGTGGATGCATTTTATACTAGGGCTGCACGATATTGGAAAAACTAACATTGCCATATCTTACTTTTATAAGTTGAGTTATAAGTATGAGTTTAATTTCACTAGATGAAATGAATAGGTCTTTTTCGGAAAGAATTCATAATTTTAAGTTCATCGGGACGATTTCGTAGGGTATTTGCGTGGAATATAGTAAACCAAATCCCAAACATTGATAAATACAGTAGGGTAACGATACTGTACAAATAAAATACGCAGTGCGTTATGATTTCTGGAAGTCTAGCAATTATCAGATGCACTAAATTGTAAAAGCACACTATCTTCATCACATACTTACACACAAATACAACTATTATTAATAATAATAAAAATTCCTTACATTTATAAAGCACTTTTCTGGACTCTCAAAGCACTTTACACATTTTTGGGGGGAATCTCCTCATCCTTCACCAGTGTGCAGCATCCAATTGAATGACACGACGGCAGCCATATTGCACCAGACTGCACATCAGACCGAGACAGAGTGATGAAGTCAATTATGATATGGGGATGGTTAGGAGGACATGATGGACAGAGGCCAGTGAGCAAATTTGGCTGGGATGCCGTGGTTAAACCCCTACTCTTTTTTGAGGGACATCCTGGGATTTTTAACGACCACAGAGTTAGGACCTCGGTTAAACATCTCATCCAAAAAACAGCAATCACTGACCAGTATAGAGTCCCCTTCAATATACTGGGGTGTTAGGACCCACTCAGACCACAGGTTCAGCGCCCCCTGCTGGTCTCACTAACACCACTTCTGGCAGCAACATGGCTTTCCCATGTGGTCTCCTATCCAGGTACTGACCATTTAATCTCTCTTAAAGAAACGTAATTTCCTATGCCTGAATACTTTAAACTGACTTGAAATCCTTACACAGGCCCTAAAACACACATAATTTTTAACATTTTTGTTTCATACATTGATGGACAAACATTGCACTGACAAATCGCGAATGTTTTGAAATGTGGTTGGTCAATTATAATAGTGGTTTGACATTGCATCCTGCGATTTGACTATTGTGCATTCGCATATTGCAATATCGATGCTGAAACGATATATTGTGCAGCACTATTTCAAACTTTATGTCGGATTAAATTCTAAATTTGCTCTTCTTATTTCTATATGTATATAGTAGTGCTTGTTATAAACGATGTATCTGTGCAATTCTTTATTTTGTAAAAATTTATTCGCCCTCAGAATCTTTAATCAACTATTATAACCTTCTTTCCCCCCTCGAAATGACTTTTCTTCACTTCTGGTCACATGGAATGCTTTTAGGGCGGAGCTATCAGGGTGTGTCTTGTTTCTGCTCTGCCTTCATCCATTCATCAGTCTTCTTTCATATTGTTTTCAAAATCCATCTTCCAACCATCTAATCGGTTTTCAAATGACGAAATTATGCACTGCCCTACTTTTTTCTAATTTCAGGACAGTTTCAAGTGGATGTATGTCAAAAAAGAACAATGTTAATTTCTGTTTCATGGCAACTTCATTCATTCATTCATTCATTTTCTTTTTGGCTTAGTCCCTTTAGTAATCTGGGGTCACCATGGCGGAATGAACCGCCAACTTATCCAGCATATGTTTTACGCAGCAGATGCCCTTCTAGCTGCAACCCATCACTGGGAAACATCTATACACTCTCATTCACACACACACACACACACACACACACACACACACACACACACACACACACACACACACACACACACACACACACACACACACACACACACACACGCACGCACACACACACACACACACACACACACACAGAAACACACACACACACACACACACACACACACACTACGGGCAATTAAGCTTACCCAATTCACCTGTAGCGCATGTCATTTGGACAGTGGGGGAAACCAGAGCAGCCGGAGGAAACCCACACCAACATGGGGAGAACATGCAAACTCTACACAGATATGCCAACTGACGCAGCTCAATCCACATGTAAAACCCTCTTCTCTCTGTATGCACCAGACTTAAACTCCACTTTCTCAAACATGGACAACTCCTGTGGTGTGGTCTGTTTAGTAGCTTACCTTGTATGGTGCTGCAAAACGCTCAGGTCCCATAATAGAGTGACGTAAAATCAAGATAAATCTACATGGAAATGCACTAAATGCTTTTATCTTACGTTTGTTTTGGAAAATACTATTGGTTGGGTTTAAGGAGGGGTTTAAATCAGTGGTTCACTGATGATCTGTATGACAAGACCAGCCTTCTCATGGATATATACAAGAAGGTCATGCATCTACAAACCCTGTCATACAAAAATGTATACGGTGCCTTCTAGTGGATTTGTCATCTGGAATTTGCAAAGAAATGTACCAGAAGCAATGTATTTTATGTTTTGCAAAAATGTATAGACCAATTACCATGTTTATAAACATTCAGGATGTGTGCACAAGGAAGTGGCAGAAAAAAAATCGGGAGCGCTAGCATTTACAGCGAGGGAATGACATCCGATGCGGTACAGAGTTTGTTGTTGTCTAAGAAATAAGTTCTATTGATTATATATTGTATATATGTTATTTACATAATGCTTTCAGCGTATTATAACAGCTCGTCACCCAGTGATAAGCACAGCGATTCGGCAAAATTAACGTTGAAGTGAGCGGCTTTCATCTGACAGCTCCATTTGTGATAGCACCCTCCCATGAATACTGGATAAGACAAAATGACCAAGCATCCAGCCTGAAATATACAATCTCATTGAAGCTCCAAGTGATTTTACAAGAGGGAAGTTAAAGCCCTACAAGTCTTTGGATGCCAAAAATATTGTTCTGTGTGGTCATGTGCAAGAAATAATGCTTCATGATTACCAGATTCAAAACTATGTATTGTTAAAAACCGAGATTCTGTCCAGCCAAAGACAAGAAAAGAAGACGTAAAGGTAAAATTGGTTTTATATTCGCACATTCAGACTTTCTCCTTAATAATATAATTTCATTAAAGTATTATTTGCAAACTCTAAATAGCGAAATCATATTAGCAGGCAATGACTATCAAAGTACAACATTGCTTACAGTCAAATAAATAGTGTTAATGTGTGTTACAAGTCACACTTGTAGGTTATTTCAGACCAAATAATCAAAGTGCCGTGGTAAACAATATAGGGAGTGTGTCACAAGTTGTCACTGAATGAATGTGTGAATATAAAACCAAGTTTACCTTAATAACTTACACTTTCACGTTTCATTTTGAGCATTCAGTTTCCGCAGTTTAATATGTAACTGTTTTTGCTGAAATCATTTCTGCAATCAAAAATGAGTGACATGTATCATTTAGCATAGCGTGAACCTACCTGATATAACATGAGAACTGGAGAGTCCTGCATTTCTAATAAGGTCGTCACTTCATTCAGCTCCCTTCGATTTTGGCATCCTACCGCACAACACCACCTTTAATATTGCAGCCTGTCTTTTTTTGCAACCGGGGGCCCGTGGGACATCATGTGTGACGTAGGTTGGTAATTGGTCTATACTGAGGCATGCATTTTCACAACCCAGGCTCATTGCGGATAGGTATTCAGGTCTACATTTCTAACCGGAGGTATGTGTTCTTGCAGTTTTTGTTTTTGCAGATCCGGCAGAGGCCGCTATGTAAGCTTTTTGTTGATCTCAAATTTCTCTCACGCGTCCTCTTCTTGTGTAAATCCACCATAGGGCACAATATACACTTCAGCCGACCAGCTTAGCTTGCTGTTGACTGACACACTGACCAACCCACCCATGCCTCAACCCTACCGATAGTGTTTTAAAAAGCAGTCTATAAAAAGAAAAGCCATTGGAGCAGTGTGATTTGACCACGTTTTCAGACTGTTGTTTATTTATTTATTTATTGGTTTTGTTTTATCTGGTTTCTAGAACCGTTCTTTGCCTGACTCAAACGCCTTCGTTGCAGTCAACTTAGATCTTCGTCCTAAGTCCCCCGACTTACGCGGAGAACCACTAGTCAAACTGGTAAGGCCGGAAAAGCTGTCCACATGGAGGTAAGCGATCAGATGGAAGCATGAAAAGGAACAAACATTGTATCCGGCGTCATACCATCCTGTAGCATTCGTTTTAAAGACGCAACAGACAGACGTACCTCTGGCTTCATAGTTTGCGCTCTCCAGAAATGTAGACAGGGGTACGTATCCACAATAAGCCTGGGTTGCATTTTCATGTTCATTAGAACTTTTAATGGAGAAGTTGTGCCCCAATTAACCCCCTTTAAAGGGTCACGAAACACCAAAACACATTTTTTGAGCTGTTGACAGTCGTATATGTGTCCCACACTGCTAAAAACACTATTAGGACACCTATATTTCACTAAAAAGTGTAAATTGGTTGTTTTTGCGTTATTTCAAGCAAATTCGTACTTCCTGTTTGAAACGAATTTTTGAAGCTGCGTCACGGTCATGACATAATAGCGTGTATTCCAGCGTGCAGACTGGACGTCTGTGCCAGAGTGTGCCTTATTACGTCTTACAGTGTGATGCATTAATGCATGAGTAAGGCTTGGTTCAAACCAATCAGCGCGCTCTATTGTGCAACTTCATTAATATTCATTAGTGTCACCGTATTTACACGACAGAGACGCCACGTTGTGTTGGCAAAACAAGCGTGAAGTGTTGCTTTTACAGTTTGCTGCCATTAAGTTTCGTTTTCATTTTCTCTCTGTGAGAGCTCATCTGGATCACGTGTGGATTACAGTGTACGCGACGCTCGACAACAATAATTTACGTGTCTAAGGGGGATTATTGTTTACCTGAGAGCTGTTCTCATCTGCAAACGCTGAAATCCGGAATCCGGATGTAGTCTTCTCTTCATAAAGACGCGGCTCTAGTTGCTGGTGATTGTCCTGTCTCTACAGATTTGGTAAGTGAGCGACCAGTGCTCTTTGTATATTCAGTTTGTTCGTATCAATTAAGTTAACTATTGCACTGAGTGCAAACATGTTAGCACCGCATTTTGTGACCGGAATAACACACGCGGCTTTCTGACGCTACCTGCCGTGTGCATCTAAGTTTCCGGGAAATGCTGAGTTTTTTTTCTGTCATTCGCCGTGCGGTATCAAACATTGCATGAAAAATACACGCTTAGAGCAGATCTTCGAATCAAATATCTCATTTGTCGCGAGGGGCATGAATGAATTCCCTGAATGAAAGAGCCAAACTGCAGTTAAAGTCCAACATTTAATAATTTGGCAAATAATTTGACTACAGATGTCCATGTAGGTTAAACACCATCGCTTTCTCCTGTCTGTGTGGGTGTGTATTTTGACTCTGAAACTCGCGCGTGCCCAAATAGACACTCCCACACCCTCCCACTTTAGTTTCTCCGACACTCCCCCCTAAACAGAGCTGGACGCGCCCACTTTTCTGACTTTTTCGAAAGTAGAGGTGTGAAAACACCCTGCTGAAACGAGGGGGTTTCATGGCCCTTTAAAAGCACTATCTGGACGAAACTAAGCAATAATCTTTATCGAATCCTTCCCTGTTAAGGCAGACTGGACGAAAGTGTCTGCTAACAACTTACTATGTTTTCCATCATCCACTAAAGGCAAACACAGGTCAATGAAGGGTTCGGATTGTGTGGGAGTTGCAGATAAAAGTGAGGATTAGTTTACATGGATACTGAATAGATTTCCTTTTTGGGTTTCGAGGTTTTGCTTTAGTTCTAATAAATCCACTGGCAAACTCAGTCATCTGCTAAACGATGGAGTGGGTTGTAAGAATGTGTGTATGAAGAAAGGCGGCACAGAAAACACTTCGACACTTCAATCTGCTCAGTCATCGCAATTTCTGGTGACAAACGACCCTGTCATTTAGTTAATGCTCCTGAAGTTTTCTCCTCAGACTACCACAGTCATTACAATCATGGTCGGCTGTGATTATTTATACTCGCGCTGCTTAATTCATTCTTCCAGCTTTTCTTTCCCTTATGTTTGAGACTGGATTCGTCCTGCTGAGAGAAGATCTCTCTCTGTCTGATCATCACATACAGCGCAGAGCATCAAAGGCTGGTTCCCTAGCAACCCATGCCTTTAAGAGCTCTTCTGTCTGCCTGCAGAAGCCACGCCCACAATAAACAAACAAAACCAGCAGTCAGCACATTCCTCGAGTCATGACTTCACTACAACACCACAATTACAATAATACAGACTTGACAGTGTGATATTCTCGAGAGAGACAATGTTAAACACACTTGAAGTACCTGAAAAATTAAAAAATGTAAGCAAGAAAATGTTTAAACAAACAAACAAACAAACAATTTAATTGGTTTAAATAGTAATTATATTAATATTTGCATTTCTGTCTGAAAATGAAGCAATTTAAATTAAAAAGGAAACCAATAATAAACATATTATTGTTATGATTATCAGCGATCTAGCGGCTGCAGAACACAAACGTCCCACAAATCCGCCATTACATGGACTACATAATTCATCATGCACTTTGTACACACCGGTTCCTGTTTCATTTTGATTACACGCACAAACACACACAGCAGGAGGATCGTTATGAACTGATTACAAGGACTTTAAATACAGCGCACACACACACACACATCTGAGTCTTGTTAAACTGTCTGTGAACATTACGACGCATTTTTGCCTTGCCTTGTCTTTCCATTGCTGACCTTTGCCGTGTTTTATGTTTATTCTGCCTGTCGCCTGTAATGACCATGTGCCTGTCTATGACTAGCCTTTTGGATGATCTGCATTGGCTCCTGTGTTGACGGTTGCCTGCCTGACCATTCTTGTTAACAAATCCGCGTTTGGAACCGCACTTCGTTGTCAGCATCTCCATCACATTACAATTATTATCATCAATGATAATAAGGATAAAATGTTTTGCTCGAATATGAAACAATTTTAATAATAATTTTTTATGATGTTATGTTAATTATATTATTATTAATTATTTTATATTATTATTATTAATTATATTGTTAATTATTTTATTATGTTAATATTAAATTGATTAATCAAATAAAAATGTAAATAAATAAAACGATTAATAATTAAAACTGAAAACTTTACATTTTTTAAATTTAAAACAAAAAACGTGTGTTCATTTTTCTATTTTAAAATGTTAACAAAAATGAAGAAAAAAAATAATAAGAATAAAATTATTATTTTTATTGGATTTTCTTGATTTCTTTGAGTTCGACAATCAGTCAATCAATCATCTGACAATTCCAGCAATTTTCTTGCTAGAATACAAGAAAATTTAATAAAATTTAATTCAACAAAAAAAAAATAAATAAATAAATAAAATAAATAAATAAAATAAAACAAAATGAATAAAATAATTAAAATAAATAAAATAATTAAAATAAAATAAACAAAACAACAAATTAATTAATAATTAATTAATTAATACATTAAAATAAATAAATTAAAAACAAAACTAAACAAAACTAAATAAACTAAACTAAAATAAAAAAAGTTTTAAAATCCCTGATCTGTTTTGTTTTAGGCAGACAAGCACCTTACCTTTTTTCCTGACTGTCTCCTCAGACTCTGGCTTGCGTGTGACTGATGCCACCTTCATCAGGAGGCTGTTCCCGCCCTGCCGGATGAGTGACACCACCTGCTTGTGTCCCACTTTTACCACATTTACACCATTCACCTGAGAGACCAATCACAAACAAATCAGAACTGTTTCTGCTCCTCATGCACACTTACCACATCTCAGAATAGACTCAAGGTTATGACACAGCTGCAAACACCACAATACATTTATGCACTGAAGATCTAAGCACAATGAATCCACTTGTAAAGTCTGATATACTGCGTCACAGTTTCCAGGTCCAAGCACTCTACAAGATGCTAATACAGAACAACAAATGGTACAAATATATGTTCACAGTGTGCTATTGTTTTAATGTTTATATCCACACTGTAAAAAATAACCATAAATTAGCGGTTTTCATGTTTTTTTTTTATTTATGCTTTTGAATTGCATTTTGGGACCTTGATTTTTCTTCCAACAATTTCTAACCTTGAAATGTTAGAAAAAGTGTCTTTAATAAACATTTTTAATAGTTTGAAGTGATATATTGTGATAGATTGTTTTGGGTTGGTGTCATATATTACGGCATAAACTTGCAGTACATTTTTATTTTGCTATTTTACAGATTTATTTCTCTACATATTATTTATTATACATTACCTTATTTCTATTGGACCCCAGTAAGACTGCATAGGATAGGATTAATAAAAAATAACCACTGTTGTAAATGTGGTCAGTCTGAGGGTACCTTTTTAAATTTAATGAGGAACTGTCATTCCGGGGTGCGTTTCCCAAACAACAACATAACTCGTGGCTGAACTATCATGGTATGATGCATCATTTGGGAAAAGAATGATGTAGTGACGAGTGTTTCCCAAAATGCATAGTTTCTCTGTCTCAGATCCATCGCTTGAACCACGTTAGTTATAATGTAAAACGCCCATAATGATGCTCTAAACTGGGTAGAGTAACTACTTCTTAAGAGAAGAACCTATAACTTCTTTGTGCATATTATATTGTTTTACACACACACACATTTAAAATAAAATCCATATAGATGTGGTAAAAACATGCACTCGCTTTCCATATTAATTGAAATATATGTAAATGGCACATAGAGGGCCAATGTTTGCTTTTCTATTATTATTGAGAAGTTGAACATTACATATTCTATTCTAAAACATATCACTTACAAAAGCTAACACGTATATTCTAATATCATATAAATCATATAAATAAACAATGAGGCTATTTATTATAAATGTAAATGTAATATTTATTTATTTATTTATTTTTAAAGTCTACTTTTACAATTTAACACTTGTAAACCACTGCAGAAAGTTCTAACTAGCAGGCCCATGTCATATACAGTACAGATACTTAATAAATAACCTACTATAAATTAAAAGAATTAACGTATGCTTTTGTTTCACAAGCTTTGGAGACGTAAGATAAATTCCGCTTTTAAATAATAGGTCACCTATAGCTATCGCCATGAAGCTGTGTTCAAAATGACATCACAGTTTTCAAAGTGCACTGCGAATGGAGCATGATTGTAAACATGAAGATCGCTAAAACTGAACTGCAAAAAATAGTTTGAAAGCAAGTTACACCTAAGATAGCTGACCTTAATGCTTTTTTATTTTTTATTAAATCCAACTTTTAATGTTTGTGAGTGAGTGCAGACCATCGGGAGAGAGGGGGCAAGGGGGCTTCATCACTGTTCAAGGCAAATGTACATAATGTGAGTAAGCAAATTTTACCCAATTATGACGACATTCGCTACGGATAAACCTAAAAATTTGAAGGCCCATTCACATGAGTAAAGGCTTGGACCCATAAACAGTACTTTACATGACAGAACTTCACAAGCGTATGGCAGACATAGTACATGTATAACAGTGGTCAAATCAATGTTATACCTCAATGAGGAAGTCTCCAGTTCTAAGCCCCGCCCTCCAGGCCACGCCCTCGACATCCACAGACTCAAGGTACTGCAGTGCAGGAAAGGCAGGTGTGGGTGTAAACTCTTCAATGGGTGTCTCCGCTACACACACACACACACATACAATAATCCATGCGTAAGATAATGTAGTGCTTCGACTCTACAACTAATCAATAAATGGCTTATTATCTAATTTATTAGTCAGTGTATGCATGTTAAAAACTGTATAAAATGGCAAACTTTACCTACCATTTCTGTAAATAAGCGGTAAGTGTTTTGCTCTTTATTATCTAAGCGAAAGTCATAGTATAGGAATTATGAAAGCATTAAAGAAACAAGCCAAAACTCATACTCATAAGAGATATGAATGCACCATGTGGGCAACAGATGGCATTAGGAACTCATAACTTCTACACAGAATGGTGCCACCCCAGAGACTGGGCATGCACAAACACACATGCACAGACGCAGACATGCGTATACACACACACACAGACACACTTACAGTATAAACTGACAAACAAACTAAACCATACGTTGTCAAACACAAATGTCTAACAATGGTGGCGATTCTTCACTGTATGTTACACCAAACATCAAGTTCATGTTGTGACATTTCTGTTAATTTAAGCTGTCACCAGAAATGCATCTGTTGCTCTGACATGCATTGTGGTCTGTAATTATAATTTGAATTGAATGACGCAAATGTGGTAAAATAATAGTATATAGATGTTAACAAATACAATTAACTCACAATCCCTGGCTTTTACAATATATATATAATAATAGATAAATATTTTTAATCAATAATAACAATAGTAATAATGATGAAGGCAAAATTGATATTTTACAACTATAAAATTAGGATTTTGACTGGTTAAATGTTATTAATCATTACTACTACAGACAGTTTAACATTATTAATATGCTTATATTAGCAAAATTGAGTTTTAATTTCAGTATTATTATATAATTTCAATATTATTATCATCATCAACATTATTTATTACTATTATGGTCACACTTTATATCGTTTCATTCATGTATTTAATTACATGAACTAATAATGAACATTTCTTGTAGTGTATTTATTAATCATTGTTCAACATTTATTAACAAATTATTAAAATCCAAAATCTATACTTGTTAACATTTTTTAATGCACTTTGCGTTAACATGAACTAACAATGAACAACTTCATTTTCATTAACTATCGTTACCAAAGATGAAGATGAACACTGTAAGAAATGTATTTTTCATGTTATTTAATACAGTAACATAAATTAACAAATACATCCTTATTGTAAAGTGTTACCATTATCATCAATATTATTTTTATTATTATTTTTATTATTTAAGCAAAATATATGATTAAGTAATTAAAAAAAAAAAAAAAAAAAAAAAAAAACTGGTCTTCAATTAAAATACAATCACCTCCTTTCCTTTTAAGTTGATCTGGCTGAGGCCATGCACATTATATAACCAACCTATTTAAATGCATTTGCAATAAATCTGCATTTCAAATTAAATGGCATTAGCCAGTTTGTGAAAATCCTCTTTTTTTTTCACAACCCAATAGTATGAAGAAAAATCTTAGGTTAAGTTGTAAGATGTCTTCATGTTTTTTATTATTTTTATTTTATTTTATTTTATTATTTTATTTTATTTATTTTTATATTTATTAAATGTATTGCATTTAATTTTTTATTTAATTTCATTATTTTAATTATTTTATTTTATATTTTATTTTATATTTTATTTTGTATTATTTTATTTTTAAATGAAATTATTTTAATGTAATTTAATATGATTTTGTTTTTTATTTTATATTTTATTTTACTTTTTACTTTATTTCATTTTATTTTTTAGTATTTAGTTATTTTTATATTTTTATAATTTTATTTTTATAATTTTATTTGATATTTTATTTATTTTAATTTTTTTATATTTAATTTAATTATATATATATATATATATATATATATATATATATATATATATATATATATATATATATATATTTTTTTTTTTTTTTTTTCTATTTAATTTATTTTATTTGGTTTTATATTTTATTTTATTTTATTTTTTATTTTATTTTATTATTTAATTTTGAGTGTTTAAAGATCTACCTGTCCAAGGACTGCAGGTAGAAAAAAGCAGTTCTTGCTAAAGCCTAGCGCGAAACACATTTCCTTTTTAAGGCCAATGTATTGTTGTGCATGTCCCTTTCAAATAAATAAACACATTTTTTAAAAATTAAGTTCATCTTACCTTTTGCTCCTCGCAAGACAAAGCCGAATCCCTCATTCTCCTTCTTCTGGAGCATAGCGTTCTTCTCCTCGATGATGTAATCACTGTGCATAAGAGAGAGCAGGACAGTAAGGTCAGACTCCAGCACCATGCCTCAATCACTGGGCACTTCACCTGGACGAACCCTCAAAACATCACTCTTTCCAATCCCCATCCTATCTGACAATCAGGTTAAAAAAAACTACATGAAAAAAAAAAAGCTCATTGGAAGCTCCCGTCCTTCTGTTTGACTCCCCTGCAGCCTCTTTAACTGCATTAGGAGATTGGCCCAAATGCTAATATCCAGCCTATTGTGCTTTTCAATGAAAGCACAGAAATTTGAAGGCCTTCAACTCTCTTCCCACTCCAAATGCAGGAGGAGAAAAAGGTAGAAATGTACAAAAGACAGTGATAACCCAGCATCCGGTGTTTATAGTTCAACCCATCAGTGATAAATAGATAAGGACAAAAGAGAAAGCGAGTCAGATGCACACACAAAGGATCTTTTTCTGTGGTGGTGGTCTCCATTCTGAGCACACACACACACACAAGCGCATGGAAACACACACACACACACACACACACACACACACACACACACACGGTCCATCTGTCTGGATGCATGGAGATAGCTATCATCAGCGCTAGCAGCAGGGACAAATCTGTTCTTTCTTACTCATGTGAGGCACAGTTACCCGCCTGTAGACACCATCAGCCCCCTGCCAACACACATATACACACATACAAATATCACATCGCTAACCTCACTGCTCTGATTAACTGCGCTGATCTACATTCACACGGCAATCACATGGCGAATGCTAACATCTGAAGCTGGTTATGGGGTTTTTGTGGCAGAAATCATGGATGGTTGAAACAATAGAGCTGGGTGAAATTCAATTCAATTGTGACCAGTTAGGTTGGTTTGGGACGTAAATCATTCACAATACAAATTTTGAACAACAGAGGGCGCTGTATTTTGTGATATCACAATGGCAGTAAACAGGTTGTAGCATTAAAGGTACTTAAAGGAAATAGGCAAATTTTATGTCATCTAGAGGTTATCAGTTGATAGTTAAGCTTTAAAGGGGACCTGTTACGGAAAAATCACTTTTATAAGGGGTTTAAACACAGTTACAGTATGTGGCAACAGTATATGAATGTAACTAGCTTCTAATGTTGAATATTGATACAATTTTTTTGAACCATAGTGACAATCTCTCCCTTATAAGCATAGGACATTAGTCTTGTTTTTGAATGTGCCACTATGCTGACACAGGCATTTGTATCTCCGCCCTGTTTTAAAAAGAGCACAATCTCATTCGAATTCAAAGCGACGTCAAAATGGCACAACTAGGCAGTTGTAAAGAGTTATAAAACATTATATGTGGGGTATTTTTGTGCTGAAACTTCACATACACATTCTAAGGACATCAGAGACTTATTTAAATCAACAAAACAAAAGAAAACAAAACAAAAAGCAAAACAAAACAAAACAAAACAAAACAAAAAACAAAAAATTAAGCAAAACAAAACAAAACAAAAAGCAAAGCAAAGGAAAACAAAAAACAAAACTAAGCAAAACATAACAAAACAAAATAAAACAAAAAACAAAACAAAAAACAATGTTATTAAGCAAAACAAAACCAAATAAAAAACAAAGCAAAGCAAAGCAAAAAACAAAAAACAAAAAAACAAAAACAAAGCAAAGACAAAATAAAAAAGCAAAACGAAAACGAAACAAAACGAAATGAATCAAAACAAACAAAACAAAAACAAATTAAGTAAAACAAAACAAAACAAAATAAAAAGCAAAACAAAACACAATATTAAGCAAAACGAAACAAAACAAAACAAAATAAAAACAAAGCAAAATAAAACAAAGCAAAACAAAACAAAACAAAACAAAACACAGGAAGATATGGAACAAGTAAGGGGTGAAAAAATGATGACAGAGCTTTCGTTATTGGGTGAACTGTCCCTTTAAAACTTACCACCTTATGGAAGACGCAGAGTTCATGATCGCTAAACAACCTGAAGTAACACTGAAGCACTGCCCTGATTCACAATGCGTGTCCTTGGCAGAGGAAGCGAGAGGCTTTAAGAATACGTTAATCCAAAGTTAAGCGTAGTGTGAAAAGCAATTTACAGTGATTTCATGATATAGATTGGTTTGCGTGTTCCCTGGAAATCAAACCCTTGACCTTGGGTTTGCTAGCACCATGCTCTACCGGGCCAAGCTACAAGAAAAAGATATTCGCTTTATTACAGCAAAATCTATATCTCTAAACATAGCACCTCCTTTCCAACAGCTCCCATATCATCCAGAAATCTATTTTATAAACAGAGCATAACAAAGCGCTTGTGAACAGCTGTTTGTATGCTGATTGCAGAATAATTACCACAAACGGATAAAAGCTGTCTATGTGCTCACAGGAGACCAGAGCAACGACTGGTGCCTTTATCATCAACTGTTAGAAGAAAGCTCATCTCTCTCTCTCTCTCTCTCTCGTACCCCGAGGGTCTTCATCACCAATGCATTAGGAGTGACAAGAATCTAATTAAGCAGTGGAGAATCAATTAGATCAATTACAGATGATTCGGTGTCGTTAGCGCCTCGGGTTAACGAAATGCTCTGTCCTACAGAACAGCAGTCACGCCTGTGATAACATCAGTGTACGGTCGGGCATCTGGAACTGGCTCTTGCTGTGAGTTTGCTTATGAACAAAAGACATGCCAAATTAAACTGGGACAGTGGAATATTTGGGTTTCAGAATGCTTACTATGATATATATATTAGTGGTGGGCCGTTATTGGCGTTAACATGCTGCGTTAACGCAAGACTCTTATCACGTGATAAAAAACATATCGCTGTTAATCTATTTTTAGAGTTGGGTTGGGAGCTTGGTCTATTCTAGGTAAGCTATGATGAATTGACGGTAATAGTTTAATTGCGGTGTTTACTTCAATAATGCCACTAATAGATACATACTCCACATGTCTTAATTCCATTTCTGTTTAGTTCAGTTATGACTTTGAATCTCTTTTTGAGCTTAGGTAGGCCTACAGTTCAAAATTCATGTTTAACTGAATAAACAGTTAGTAAACACAAGTACATCTTATTGAACATCATTTATTTTCATCACCAATTATCATAGTACAACAGTTTCATAAGCAGTTTGTGATGCATTTTGGAAACAGGAGCTTAACCCCTGGTCTAATGAGACACCTGGCTTGAGATTCTCAAAGATTTACTTTTAGTCATTATTTGGGTAGCACACACACACACACACACACACACGAACACGCACACGCACACGCACACAAACGCACACAAACACACACACACACACACACACACACACACACACACACACACACACACACACACACACACACACACACACACACACACACACACACACACACACACACACACACACACACACACAAAACAGGCTGTTTACATGAGAGATGGCAGAGACAGCTGTGCTTTGTGGTCAGCTCACAATGAATTATTCATTGACTGTGTGTTTCACTTTAAAACAAACTCAATCTTTTTCTGTGTTTTTAAAACTGAATATATTATTAATTGACCATATTACAATGTACAAATGTTGCTTCCATGGCACCATGTCTATTGCTGTACATATAACTTTATGTAGATTGTCTGGGTTCTTTCATGATTTGTGGAAAATGTAAAAAAAAAAATATATATAAATAAATAAATAACACATTTCAAATATTTGTTATACGCTTAGAAAGGCCCTCGCAGTTGAGTTCAGCTAATCTAGCGCCTAATGATAATTTGATGAGATAATGAAGTGTGAAACTGAATATAATGGTCATTAGACCTCAGAAAGAAGGTTTCCTGTAGCGCTGGCTTCTTGACAATGTAATGCACACAACTCCCAAAAATGATCTCCAGTGCCGAGGGGAGCACACATGAGCGCTAGCGTACTTTGTCCCATGTCATGAAGCTATATGTCTGTACGCTGAATGACATTTTTAGGCAAGGTTTGAAAATTAATGAGGTCTGGAGGTTGTTCAATAATGCTATGTTAGTAGCTACAGATAAAGGCTCAATCCCAATTCTAGTTTTGAACCCCTATACCTTCCCCTTCCCCTTGGCCCTTGCCAAGTGCAAAGGGGAAGGGCTTCAAAATGTACCCCTAAGAAATGGAACAGCAATACAGCACCTGCACACGTCATCATGTCATTGCAATCTCTTGCTTCATATGAGATTGACGATCGTGACTGCTGTAGTTATTCCAGTTGCGTTATTTTTTTGGTGGTTTTCTTCAGGAAATCACTGAAGGCAACAATATTATGTTATCATAACAATATAATGTGGCAATAAGATCATAACTATACTTTGCATTTACACCATGGCCATATTCATCTATGTAAACACACAAAACAACATTAACATTATAGCAGACACTGTAAATAGGGATTTTCCAGCCACTAAACTTTTCTGACAGGGTATTTGAGTGTCATCGAGCGACAGAATGTTGTGGAACTGCTGTACAGGAGTTATGATTATGGATTATAGTTAGTGAAACTTAGCAGGTTTTATTTTAGTGTTTTTATTTAAAGCATGACGGTAACACAAATGCGGTTATGCATATATTTTAACATATGCTTGTTTGTTGTAGAAATTCATAATAATGACAGAAAAAAACTAATTTGTGGATCTCATTACTTTCGTGTGCAGCTATACTGCCGCTGTAGATGATGTATTCTGGCAAATTTTCTTACCCCTTGGTTTCCAGTGTGGTCCTGAAAAATCTCAGTTTCAAGGGCTATCTAGCCTTTCCTCTTAGCCCTACGCTGACAAGCTAAATAGAATTGGGACACCCCTACTCCTCGACGTGAACGTGCAAAATGAGGGGTATTGGTAAAGATAAGAGAAAGGAGCAGAATTGGGATTGGGCCATAAAATATATGCAATGTTTTGTTTTCATGCAGGTGTATAAATGATGAGATGAATGACAATTTATTTTTAGAATTATATAAATGTTTAACAATTCATTTATTAGAGAACTGTTATTAGCATATGCTT